CGCATCCTTTCTCCTCCAGTCTCCTCTTGGGATCTTGGGCACGCACACACACATGCCCAGTGTGAGTTTAAGCCACCGGGTCCAGGATTCGAACCACAGTCGACTACATGGGAGTCCAACAACATAGCCATTACACTAACTGCTAATCCCCATGACTTGTTTTTATAAATGTTCTCAGTTTCAGAGCCTTTTCATTTACCAACATCCTTCTAATATGCAAATAAATTATTTTTTACAAGAAGATGTTACAGAATCTTTTTTTCTAAATAATTAATTTTATTTATTATTATTTTAATCTATAGGGCATAAACACTAACCAGAGAGAGAGAGACGGGGGGGGGGGGGAGAAGTCCAGAGTCTTAACTACCACATTACCTGCTGGCTCCAGAATCTTTTAAAAAAAAATCTCTTTTCCTCTAGGGCCAGCAGGTGGTGTGGTGGCTAGAGGTGCTGGACACCTACATGGCCAACTGTGGTTTGAGTCCTAGACCTGGTGGCTTGCTTTCTCACTTTCTTTCTCACTGTGTCTTCTCTGGTCAAATTAAAATAAGAAAATAAAACAAAGTTAAATAAAATAATAATAATTTTTAAATCTTTCTTCCTTTTTTCAGGATAGTGTGTGTGAATGCATGAGAGAGAGAGAGAAAGAGAAAGAGGATGAGAGAGGGAGAGGGAGAGGGAGAGGCATACCCTCCACACAGTCTGGTCATGCAGCAGTGCCCCTCCTCCAGGCCTCCAGCATAGCTTATCTCTGGCCCTCACATAGGCTTTGTGTATGTCTGGCCAACTAGGCTAAGGACTCGAAAAGCAGTCACCATGTGGGATCTAGCTTCCCTTGAGTAGCTCAATACCACTGTGTCATGGAGCTGTCCCACAGAGTCTTGTCATAACGGTTCCCAGAGAAGGTGGCCCTGTAGGGGTTAAGGGAGTCAAGTCCTACATGGCTGACTGCAGTTTGAATCCTGCACCTAGTGGCTTGAGAACCATGCCTTGAGCATGCCTGGGGCATGCATGTCTGCCTGACCACCTGAACCACCGAGCCTGCCGTGAGAACATGCCCTGGTGCGCATGCAGGAGGATGAGAGACACTTGGAACAGAATTGAGTTGCCCTAGGTAGCCCAGACGAGGCCAGCGTAGAAAGTTGAGAGCCAGCTAACACCCTGGCTTGAGAGTGAGCCCAGCCAAGCTCAGCAGAGCCTTGGGCTTTTCCAGATCCCCAAGTAGTAAACGCTCTCTGTTGAATGTCACAGAGGCTTGGTGCACTTTCTCCACAGCCTGACTGTAGTTCTAGACAACTAATTCTGTACAATTGCACTGCCCTGGTGTTTGGATCCGGTTGCAGTTCTGGCAGTGAGCTGGGAGCTAAAGTAATAATGCCATTTCTGGACCAGAGCGTTTGCAGGCTGATGCGAGGACCAGCCCTGCAGTCTGGTGGCTAAGGAAGCGAGCCAGATCTCACATGGACGGCCATAGTCTGGATCCCAGTCCTGGATGCTTGAAAAACACACCTGGTGCATGTGCATGCATGCTCCAAATCCTGAAGAGGAAGAAATGAAGAAGGGATGCTGCGTGATCACCTTCTATGTGTGTGGGAGGGTGCTTTCTCCCTGTCTCTCTGGTGAACGCATACTTTCTAGTAACTAAGGGCAACAAAAAGTAAAAGCAGACATCAGACCTTCAAGAGCTCTCCCCCCCCCAATGCATATTGACCCAAAACTTTTGAGATGGAGACAACTCTGCCAGCCTGAGTCCCTGAGAAACTAAGAGGAGTTGGACACTGAGCCGTAAGGAACTGTTATAAACCACTGAGACATTGGAGTTGTTAATTACTGCAAGATAACTTAGTCTAGCTGAGCAAATGAATTGAAAAAGTGTAATTTTTTTCTGCCTTAGGGGATGTGTGGTTAGTGGAGAGAGAGAGAGAGACACGGTGAGAGGGAAAGTAAGAAATCACCCCTCGGGGGGAATGGCCAGGCCACAATCCCTTCTCCTTCATTCTTCTCCCAAGATCTTTGGACACACATGCATACACGCCCAGTGTGTTTTAAGCCACCGGGTCTGGGACTCGAAACACGGTCAGTCACGTGGGAGTCCAGTGACATAATTGTTATGCCATCTGCTGGTCCCCCAAAAAGTGTATTTTATAAGCTGGCTAAAAATTGTTCATTGCTTTCTCATTGGTGCTCTGAGATTACAGTAAATACTTAAATTGTAGTTTATTGATTTTGGTTATTTTACTAGTTTAATCGGCTTGTGAACCCATTGACTAGCCAGGGGTTGGGGGTAGTTATAGACCTGATTGCCAAGGAGTTGGGAAAGAGAACAGCTGCCTTTTTTCACCTTCCAAATACCTTGAGACTTTGCAAACATAAAAGGTGTTCAGATGTTGGGCAATCTGAATGTCCATTAAGCTCCCTCTAGCACATAAACTAGCGGTGACCCTTCTCTTTCCAGAGCATGTATTATCACAACAAAAAGGAAGGTATCCTTCAACGAAGAAATTTGAGTGGATGAGAGGGCAAGGAAAAAAAGGTTATACAGGGAATCAGCAGTTAGCGTAATGGCTGTGTCGTTGGACTCCCACGAAGTCGACCGCGGTTCGCGTCCCAGACCCGGTGGCTTAAAATTCACGCCGGGCGTGTGTGCGTGCATGCCCAAGATCCCGAGAGGAGAATGGAGGAGAAGGGATTGCAGCCTGACCATCCCCCCAGGGGGGTGATTTCTCGCTCTCTGTCTCTCTGTCTGTCTCTGTCTGTCTGGCGAGCGCACGCGCCCTATAGCAAAAACCTCTCAAAAAAAAAAAAAAAAGGTTATACAAAGCAAAAACTAAAAACCCCTGCCACACCTCATAACCTCATAGCACAGTGGTTAAGGCCTGTGCATGAGGAGCTGGATCCCACATGGCTGACCATGGTTTTAACCCAGTTCCGGTGGCTCTACCATGCCTCAAATCTGGATAGGATGGTGGAATGGAAGAATAATAGTCACAGCACGACCATGCCCCACTGGGGGGTGCTTTCTCTCTTTCTCTGCAAGTGCAATTGCCCTCTGGCAATTAAAAAATAAATCTCTTAGATGTACATAATTTTCCATTTCTCTCAAAATGTTTTTGAAATACCCACAAGGAAGTTAAAGGAGAAAATCTTTGTGACCTTGGTTTAGGTAAGAATTTATTTAAAAATGATGCCAAAAGTACAATCTATCAAAGAGAACATTGATAGATTTATCTTCATCAATATTAATATCTTCTACTTTTTGACAGACACTGCTGAGAGAATGAAAAGAACAGCCACAGATTGGAAGAAAATGTTTCCAAAGCATATATATGATAAAGTGTTTGTATCCAAAATATATTTTTTAAAAAACTCTCAAAACTCAATAATAATAAAACAGAAGTCAGTAAAAAATAAAAAATAAAAAAGGGGGGGCAGAGCTGGCCTCATACAAGGTAGTTAAGTGCTGTATATTGGGAGCCAGATCCCACATGGTGACTGGTTGGAATCTGGGCCCTGGCAACTTGAAAACCATGACGAGCACGTGTGCATGCATGCCCCAAATCCTGATGGAAAGGAAGGATAAAGGAAAAGGACTGCAGCATGACAGGGTCCCATAGGTGATGGGGGTGCTTTCTCTCTTTCTCTGTGTCTCCTTCTCTCTGACAGGGCACATGCCCTCTGGAAATTAAAACAAAATTGGGCAAAATATTTGACCAGATATTTCAACAAGGATGTATCTGGAAGGCAAATAATCAGATGCCAAACACCATTTGTCATTTCAGAAATGGAAGTTACAATCACCACGAGACCCCTACATTCCTACAATGGCTACGATGACAAAGACATAATGGGGAGCACCCTTCCTACATGGTTGGAAGGGATGTAACATGGCACAATTACTTGGGAAGTGTCTGCCAGTTTCTTAAAAAGTTACATCTACTCCTACCATATGACACAAGTATTCCACTTGCAAGAATCTACCAGAGAAATGAAACATATGTTCATACGATACTTGTATAAAAAGGTTCATAGCAGTCTTATTTGGAATAGCCCCAAACTGGAAACCATCTCAATGTTCATCAATGGATGAATGGAATTCTGGTATATAAATGCCATGGAACACTACTCAGCAATTAAAAAAAAAAATACTGACATACACAACAGAATCGAATTTCCAAATAATTATGCTGGATGAAAAAATCCAGACCACTTCCCCACCCGACCCTGCAAAAAAAGACATGTACATAGTCTACTTGTTTACATAAATTTAGAAACCCCCTTGGCTCCCAGAGGGCCGCATTACCACTCAGACGTCTAGCGCCTACGAACCACCTGCCGAAAACTACGATTCCCAGAAGGCTTTGAGGCCGACGACGACCCTCGAGAGGGGGCGGAGCCTAAGAGAAGGTCGTTGGCCTATTCCATTGTCCAGAGCCGGGGGTGGCTGGGCGGAGTTGGGGCGCGATCTGCCTTCCGATTGGTTGTGAAGAGAAAGGGGCGTTCTGCGCGGGTTGGTACGGTCCCTTGGGACCCGGGCAACAGCGTCTGGAGCTCAAATTTCCCGGGCCGGGAGCGCGGGGCCTGCCGGGAAGTCGCCGGGACAGTTACCACCCCCGCCCCCCACCGCCACCAAGGCCCGAGGCAGTCCCGGGTGGGCTTCGGCATGCAGAGCACCAACCTGGGCAACCAGGGGCGCGGCA